ACTGGGGCCCTCCTGGGCACTGCCTGGGTTGGGGGGGGGCCCGCACTGCCCCAGGCCCTGCAGGTGGGGGTGAGGGGAGGGGGTCTGGGAGGCAGGACTGGTTTTTGGGGGAGTCCTGGCTGCCCCAGTGGGAGGTGCTGTGTGTTATAGGGTCTTTGGGGTAGAGGCATTGGATGGCAGGAGTCCCAGTTGCTTCAGCCTTAGCAGGGGGCGCTTACAGGGGGGCTGGGAGAGGGTAATGTTGCCCATTAGCCCTTGCATTGGTGTAGCAGGGCCTGGGGTGGGACAAGGGAAGGCTCCCCCTGCATAGGGGGATTTCTGTCCCCTCCCCTGATGGCTCCTTGTCTTGCTCCTTTCCTCCTCTCCTGCTGCCCTCAGGGACCCTTGTGCCGCAGAAGAAGCGGGCCGAGGCGGGGAGTGAGGGCCCGCTGGAGTTCGAGGTGCCCGAGTCCTTCCTGGCTTGTCTGCAGGGGATTGTCGCCAGCTTCCAGGAGCACCTGGCTGGTGAGACCTGGCAGGCCCCGTGCTGGGGCTGGCAAGGCGGGGAGCTGCCCCTGCCCCCGTGTCCCTGGCTGGGGCAGGACCTGCCCTCACTTACACCTCTGCTGCCCCTCTCTCCTCCCCAGAGCTGGTGCCCCACAGAGTCTCCAGCCTCTGCCTGCAGGTGGCCCTGGAGGTCACCAGCCAGAAGCTGCCCAAGACCTGTGCTGAGCTGTGCTGTGCTGTGATTGGCTACCTGAGTTCCCGGAATGCCTCTTCCACATCCAGGTGAGCCGCCCAATTGGCTGGTGGGATTGCCTAGCTCAGCTGCAAGTGGGTGTGTGTCCTGATTGGCTGTCAGATGAGTGCATTTTGGGCAGCTGTGGTGGAGAAGCTGAGTAGCGTTCATCTCTGGTTGGCTGGAAGGGGAGGGACTTGGTATTTGCTGTGACTGGAACCCATTCTGATTGGTTACAAGGCTGGGATCCAGGTTCATGGTTGATTCTGGCCATGCAGCTGAGACTTCTGATTGGTTGGGCCTGGCAGGCTGGTCTGAGAGATGGGTTTAGCAGGGCTGTGATTGGCTGAATGGTGTGGGTTTGTCTCTGGGTACTTGATTAATTGTGGTTCATAAATTGCTTTCCTGTCCCAGCTATTGGTTTTGAAGCAGGGCTGGTGGCTTGTGACTGGAATCAAACCACTAGCCACGTAAATGGCTTTTGATTGGCTCATTGGTCAGAAGCTGGGGGAGGTTGGCACAGGCATGCATCCTGATTGGCTGAGGGGGCTGTGGGGCTGCTCACCAATGGTTGCTGTCTTCCCACAGCCCTTTGCTGGTGTTCCTGAAGGACCCCACGTGCAGCCGGGTGTTGGACAAGGTGCTGGAGGTGTCAGAGCCCCGGGCCCTGCGGATGCTGTATCGGCATCACTTCCGGGGCCAGCTGCGGGTGCTGGCAGGGCACGGTGTGGCCAACTTTACCGTCCAGCACCTCATTGCTGCCGCCCCCTGCAAGATGGTGAGTGAGTGGTGGGATTGTGGGAACTGGCTTGGGGTAAGTGGGAGGGTGGGGAGCTATGAGGGAAGAAGCTGCAGGAGTATTGGGAGGTAGGAGGGGCATGGGGATGCTTGAGGGGCAGGAAGGAGGGGGGTTACCTCTGGCCCACCTTATTTTTCTCTCTCCTGTCCCAGCTTGGGTTACCTCTCCCCCACCTTATTTTTCTCTCTCCTGTCCCAGCTGGGGAAGGTGCTGGCAGAGCTGGGCCCAGCCTTGGAGGAGGTTCTGGCCTGTGGGCACCCTGGGGTGCTCACGGCCCTGCTGAGAGCCTGCCGGCAGCATGGTGCCCATCAGCAGGAGGCACTGCAGATGGTCCTGGAGGTGAGTCCCTAGACCTGCGTCCTTCGTGTGTGCGCCTCCCCCCCAATAGCTGGATCCTGCCTCTTACCCCCTTTTCCACCCCACCACAGGCTTTCCACTGCTGGGACCCACCTGCCCGCCAGGATTTCTGTGCTCCTCTCCTTGCTTCCCTGCAGACCTATGAGGCCTACTACCCATCAGAGGAGGGGCTGGGGGCAACAGAACAGCAGGTAATGGGGGTGTCACTTTCTAGGTACTGTGTGGGGGGGTGGTTATAATGTTGCTACCCGGCAACAACCCGGGTAGCAGGGTCCTCTGGAGGTCCCAGATAGTCCAGCTCCCTGCTCAAGACCGAAACTAGCTCTGTCTAGTCAAATAGTCTCTGACAGAAGTAATCCCACAAGCTAAACCCCTTAGCATTAGCTTAGCCTATCAATATACTGTACATAACTAATCTACCACGTGCACCTTTTCAAACCGTCAGGCATGGCCTCGCCCAGAGGCATCTTTGGAGGCCTCAGTCTCTTTATTGGGTTGAGGATACTGGCTGGGGGGGGAGAGGGCGCCTAGCCTGCCTCCCCAGCCATGATGGGATAAGCCTGCCCCAGTTGTAACTAAGTTAGGTGCAAAAGGATGCTGAAAAAGCCTTGATTTGTCTTAATCCCATTGCTTTTGGGGGAGGAGGGGGAAGACCCCTGCATGGCCAAAGCCTGCAGGACTTTAAGACATGCACCCCAATTTTCTGAGGTGAGGAAGGAATTGTGTGGCTGTTGGTAAATACGGTAGTTGGCAGGAGGTGCTATTGCAGGAACCTGTAGGCACATTGGTGATGCGTAGGGGGTGCACATGGATGCACATATACTCCCTGAGAATGGTGGTGTGCCCCCTGAGAGAAGTGCTGCTGGCAGTGCCTGTGGGCAGTTGCCACTTGCCCCTCACCTTCCCTCGCTGCCAACACCAACTCTTCTGTCTTCTTCCCTCCTATGCCAGCCTGGGCCCCTGCCTGCCCTTGGCTCCATCTCCCTCCACGGCTCCCTCCTGCTCCAGCACCTGCTGCACTTTGCCGACCCTGGCCCTGTGCCGCACAGCCTGGCAGCGCTGCCTGCCCTAGACCTGGTGACACTGGCCTGCAGCTCAGCTGGCAGCCACGTTTACAACGCCCTCCTCTCCAGCTCCTCGGTGTCCCCCAAGCAGAGGCGCAAGGTGCTGCGCAAGCTTAAGGTGAGGATGCTGCTGTGGGGAAGCCTGAGGCCAGGGGGAGGTGAGTTGAGGAGATGAGTGGGGGCTTGGGGTACTATTTTGGGAATGCTCACAGCATTCCTAACTGACCCCCTCCATGTTTCCAGGGTCACTATGGGTCTCTGGCCTGCAGCAAACATGGCAGCCGGGTTCTGGATGCTGTGTGGAATGGGGCCACCCTCCCGGAGAAGCAGAAGATCGCTATGGAGCTTGGTAAAGACTTCTCCTCTTCCCTCTCATCTGTCTCTAAGGGCCTGAGGAACCCATGTGTCCTGGGGGTGAAGTTGTGAAGGCTCTACTTGGCTATCTCTGCAGATTTTGGAGGACTCTATATTGGCTCAGGGCTTGGAGGGGGTGGGATAGGTGGGGATGTGATGTTCCTTACCTGCCATAGAGAGCCTAGAAGACCGTACGAGGTTGACTAGGGATGCTCCCCAATTTCCTGTCCCAAGTTGGGGTTCTTCCTCTTGTGTTTCAAAGCAGTTGGGCCTCTCCCCAGAAGCAGCTGTGGGCTTGGGGCTGGGCATGTGTATAACCAGCCCCTTCCCAGAGGTGGCTGCATTCAAGGCTTTCTCTTCTCTCCCAGCCCCACAGGAACAGCAGCTGTGTCATGACCCCTTTGGGCGCTATGCGGTCCGCAACTTCGCCCTGACCCATTTCCGGAAGCGCCGGAAAGACTGGGACCAGGTTCAGGAGGCTGACGCGCGGCGTCGGGAGCTGTTCGCTGAGATCCTGGAAGACTGAGCAGCAGGAAGCTCTGCTGGACTAATTGGAGAGAGCTTGGAGGACTCTAGCTTGGGGCTCCTTGTCAGCCTTCTGTATTTAGCCACAGAGAGCCTGGAGGACCAAGTGCTAGAGGGCTGCCATGGGTTCTTTTTGACCCCATTCATCCGAGAGGCACTGGAGGACTGACTCCCCAAAAGGCCCCTTATGCCCTTTGAAACGATAGAGATTCTGGGGGGGAGCTAGAAAAGCTCCTCATGCCCCTTCTTTTCCTAACCACGGTGGCTGGGGGAACAAAGAGAACTGTATGCTAGAAAGACTGTTGGACTTTGCAACCACAGAGACAACAATGCAAGAAAAGGTTATGTTCTTCTGCTCCTAACCAGAGATCACAGAGGACTCAAGGGGACACCTGGGAAGTGTGCGTGAGTTTGTTTTCTTATATCCAGTGCTCTTGAGCTATAGAGCTTTTGGAGGACTCCTCTTGCTAGGAGGGCTGCTCTGACCTCTCAGGCAATCTGTTCCCAGCTGAGCAGGAGTTGGATTCTACCCCATCTTTCTATAAAAGCATCTATTTCTCCACGGGCTTCGTGTGCTTGGGAGCAACAGGGATTACCATGATGGGGACCCTGAATACCCAGCTGCATGGACAGGTTAAAAAAACGGTGGCTGATGACATGGACTATCTCCAGTTTAATCAGCAGCTTCATCTGTGCATTGAGTTGATTGGGGTTCAGGATGGGTGGGGGGGGTCATTAGAAGGGGCGGTATCACAGGATCGTGGATAGAGGGGCAGCACCCCTCAATTGCAGGCCTGAAGCCGGGCGGGCTGGTACCAGGTCTCGGCTCCATCCAGGAGGCGCCGGATGTAGTTGGAGGCTCCCAGGAGGAGGCGCCCCATGCCTTGCATCACAGCCGAGATCACCTTCAGCACTTCTCTGTAGGGTTGGGGAGCAGTGGGGAGAGAAGGGGGGTGAGCAGGGGTTGTGGGGGGAGGGGAACTGGCTGGGGGGTGGATCCTGGTCATGCCAGTGCCACCATGGGATGCTTGGGGTCTTGGGACGGGAACTGGATGTAGGAGGAGGTCTTGGCCTCTCCAGCCCCACTGCAGGGTGGGGGTGTGGGGAGGGGAGGTGGAAGTCCCTGCTTCTCCCAGCCCAGCACAGGGCAGTGGGGAGCCATAGGGCCAGGATCTGCTGGCTGTGGGGGCCAGTTCCTGGCTCCCCAGTTGTGGAGCTGGGGTGAAGGGGGCTATGGTGCAGAAACACTGGTTGTCAGGGCAGGTCCTGGCTGCTCTGTCCCCAGCAGGGGGTGCTGTGCAGCCAGGGATGCACCCATCCCAGAGCACCCACCGTAGCACCTTCTTGGGCCCGAGGCAGGTGAAGTCACAGCTCATGGAGTACAGCCCGTAGAACGTGGCCGTGATGCTGAGGCTCCCAAAGAGGTCCCGCGGGTGCAGCTTGTACATGTCAAAGGTGACGCGGGCGATGTCCCCACCCAGCTTCTCCCGGCCCCGGCCCAGGCCTCGGCTCCCACCCTGGGAGGTAAACAGGATGTGGGGAGTAGGTCAGGGCTGGTGGGGAGCTCCCCCCTACCTCTCTGCAACTTGTGGCCCTGGGCCTTATCACCCCCCTCCCATGGGTGGGGAGATCAAAGTCCCCCTGACCACAGCCCTTCTTGCCCCTGGGGAGGGGGGGGAAGGTGGGGGTGAGTGGGTTGGGAGGGGCATTGGGGGTGCCTGGGGACTTCAGGGGGGATTTTTGGGGGATGTACACATAGCCCCCTACTTCAGCCCACCAACCCACACTGATGTCCCAGGACTGGGAAGGAACCAGGTGTCCTGGCTCCCACCCTCCTCTGCTCTAACCCGCTTCACCCCAAACCTACAGCGAGGTGGAGAACCCAGGGGTCCAGGCTCCTAGTTCCTTCCCACCTTAGAAGCCAGGGATGAAATGGAGATGTCCCTGCCCTTACCTGCTCTGCCAGCTTTCATCCCACCCCCAGACCCCAGGAAGAACCCAGGCATCCGAGTTCCCAGCCCCACCTGTTCTAACCCCATTGGGGACCCAGAGCTGGGCCCCAGGCACTTGGTTGGGACTGGGGCTTGCCTCTCACCTTGGTGGGGCTCCAGCTCTGCCTGTGAGCCAGCAGCATGATCCCAGTGTTGTCGGGTAGGCTCTGGAAGAAGTCCTCGCTCTCCACAGCTGTGCCATCCTCCTCCAGCACCAGTGAGGCGGGGCCTGACACCTGCAGGGCCTCCAGTGCCTGGGGGGACCATGGCAGCAGCACTGGCTGGGGTGAGGGGCACCAATCTTGCTGCTCTCCCACCCCTCCACCAGGGAAGCAGCTGGGTTTGGGGGGGGCAGGGCCATGCCATGGGGGGGTCTCACCCCATCCAGCAGCCCCTGCTGGGGTGGGAAATGATTTGGAGGGTGGTGAGGCTTTGGTGTGCTGGGAGAAGTGACAGGAGGCAGTGCTTGGAGGTTTGGGTTGCAGGGGTGGCCTCTGGGGGAGCACAGAGCAGGCCAGAGTTTTGGGGGTCCTGGGGAAGGGTGGAGGTTTGGGCTTAGCTTGCGGGTTCAGAGTGGGGCTGTGGATTTGGGGGTGCAAGATGGGGGATGGGGTGTAGGTGTGGGGTGGGTTTAGGGGGGTGCAGGAACCTATTGAAGGACGCAGGTTGGAGTTGGGCAGGTCTAGGGGTAAGTGGGGGGCAGGACGGGGTGGCCGGGATAGGGGAGGAGGAAGGGGCTCAGGGTAGGGTGTGGGCATGCTGGGTGCAGGTCAGTTTGCAGCCTCTGGGGGGTGGAGGTTGGGGTGCATGGGGGTTGGTGTGGGGGTGCAGGTGGGCTTGGGTGCCCTGGGGTTGGGTTTGGGGGGTTCAGGGTGGGTAGCTGGGGTAGATGTGAAATTTGGAGGAGTAAGTTTGGTGGGACAGACAGGTTTGGGGGCACAGATAGGGTGGGTTAGGGGCAGGTGTTGGGGTGCAGGAGTAGGTGCTGGGGTACAGGAGAGGTTTGGGGGCACAAGGTGAGTTTAGGGCAGGTGTTGGAGTTAGGGGTGGGTGCTAGGGTTTGCAGGGGCAGGTTTGGGGGCACAGGCTGAGTTAAGGGTGGGTGTTGGGGTGCAGATTTGGGGCACTCACCTTGCAGCGCAGCTCGGGCAGGCTGGCAGCCATGAGGCCCTTGCGGGCGCCATGTCGGTGGTCGCAGAGGCGGAAGGGGCGTGGGGCGGTGGCGCGGGGGGCCAGGACCCGCCGGGACAGCTCTGTGCCTGCACTGGACACTGACCTGTGGGCAAGGGGGCATGGGGGTGGGTGAAACCATTCTCTGGGGGCAAGGGGGTGGAATGTGGGTGGCAGGAGAGACTATTCCCTATGGGGGGGTGCAGAAGGGGGGGCATGGGACAGACCATTTACTGATGGGGGGGGGGAGTAGAATGTGGAGGGGCAGGAGAAACCATTCTCTGGTGGGGGGGTAGAAAAAGGGAGCATAGGAGAGACCATTATAACAGGGGTCTAATGGGTGGGTTGGGAGCTACCATATTTAAAGGGGTGGAACGGGGGTGGGGTATGGGAGGGACTGTTCTTGGGAGTGGGGTCTCATGAGGGGAATGTTGAAAGAAACTATTCTTGGGGGTGGAACAGGGGCCTTGGAGGGAGGGAGTAGAATTGGGTCTTGGGAAAGACCATTTGAGGGGAAGGTAGAGTGAGGATGGGGAGTGTGGGAGAGACCATTCTCTAGGGGATGGAATAGGGTATATGGGGGAGACCATTCCCTGGGGAAGGGGAGGACTGTAGTGGGGCAGGATAGACCATTTGCAGGTGGTCGTGGGAGACACCATTCTCTGGTGTAGGGGGAGTGTATTGATGGAGGAGCAGGAAGGGGCCATTCTTTGTTGCATATGCTGGGGCACAGTGGGTCAAGAGAGACCATTCACTTGTCGAGAAGGGGGCTTAGGGAGACAACCTTGGGGCTCACAGTGGGAAAGACCATTCTCTTTTGTGGGGAAGAGCATGGGGTGGGGGGGGCTAAGGTGGAGGGTACCATTCCAGTGTGGGGATGGGATGGACCATGTTCCCACTATGGTGGGGGGGGTGTCGGGAATCTAGGGAAGAGGAGGTAAATATGAAGGTGGAAGGGACCACTTTCCCCTGAGAGGGGAGGAGAGAATGGGCAGCTGGGAGGGACCACTTTGTGCATAAGGGGGGCTATTGCTTGGGTGGGAGGAAAGTGGGAGATACTAGTTTGATGATGGGGAAATGGGAGGGACCATTCTTATTGTAGGGGTAGGACAGAAGAGACCATCCAGATGCAGGGAGAATGGGGAGATACCACTTCCCCCCACAGGGGTGGAGTTCATATTGGACCCCTTCCCATGCCAGAACCCCCTAGATTTGTGGGGGAGGGGGCTGCCCCCTACTCACCGCAGCAGTGATGCAGGAGCCAGGGCGCTGACGTACTCCATGGTGCTGGGGAGCAGGGGGTGTCTGGCTGTCCTGGCCTGCTGGCGAGGTGGCCCCTGTGGGCGGCTGTTTGTCTCTCTGGAAGTTGAGCTGGACTCTGGACCTGACAGCTCAGAGCTGGGGGAGGTGCAGGGTGCATGTGTGGGGGGTGCAAATTCCAACATTCCCCTGGGACAGGGTGTGGAGAGGGCCTGGGCCAGTGTGCCAGGAGTGAGCAAAACCTAGGAGTCTGGGCTCCAAGCCACCACATCCTACTCCCCCAGGTGTCCTGGCTCCCAGCACACACTCTTGCTCTGATCCAACCTAGGACCCAGGACCCTAGGACCCACCATCAGACCCCACTTCCCTCTCAGAGATGGGAGAGGACCCAGGAGTCCTGGCTCCCAGTCTCTACCCCTCTCCTAGGCTTGGGAGGGAACCCAGGCATCCTGGCTTCCAGGCCCCTCTGCCCTACCAGACTCCACTCTCCCAGAGCTGGGGGAGATCCCAGGTGTCCTTGGCTCCACGTCCCCCCCCCCCCCCCCCCCTGGGGGGGTGCATGGAAGGAGACTACTTGAATTTGAAATAAACCTTTATTTGTTCAAAGGGGTTGGATGCAGAGAGAAATGCACACAAGGCAGGCAAGGAAGGACAGTGCCAGTATATACACATTAAAAAAGATGCAAGCTGTACTGCACAGAGCCCCACAGGGAAGAAAAATACATGCTCATGCACTTACACTGTTGAACCCAGGAATCTGGGCTCCCAGCCCACCCTCCTTGAAGCCACAGGACCTCACTGCCCTCCCAGGGTTGAGAGAGAACCCACGTATCCAAGCTCCCAGCCTCTGCCTGCTCTAGCCCACCAGACTCCACTCCCTTCCAGAGCTGAGAGAACCCAGGTGTCTGGGCAGACAAGATGATGAAGTAGCAGAGCTGGGGAAAGAACCGAAGAGTCCAGGCTCCCAGCCCTGCCTCTACACCAATCCACTAGACTCTAGTCCTCTGTCAGGCCTGGGAGCTATCCTGTCTCCCAGGCCTCTCCTGTCCACCAGACCCCACTTCCTGCTCAGAGCTGGGTGAGGACCCAGGAGTCCTGGATTCCAGCCCCCACTAGACCTCATTCCTGCAGGTCTCGGGATGCACCCAAGTCTCCGTTGAGGGAATGCTTGCAGTGGAGGGACAGGGGGTCAGTGTAGACAGGTTCAATTAAGGTGAAAACCTCTTCTGCTTCCCCCATTTGGAAGGTGGAGTAGGGGAAGGTGAGGAGGGAATAGGTAGGGTCGATGTCCTGGAGTCAGAAGGAAAAAGGAGAGAGGGGCCCGTTAGGGGAGCAGGGGGTACCAGGCTACAGGGTGTGGGGTGTGAGGGGTGGCTTGCTGGGGGACAGATTGCCAATTGTCTGTAAATTTATGAAAAAAATCAATAAAAAAAAAAAGGCTAAAAAGGCCTGTTAGTAAAAAACAAAAAACCCCGCAAAAAATCAAATGGAGCCAGCTGTAAAAACACTAAGTAGCCAAGATGGACTGGTGGGAAAGAAGCTGGAGGCAAGCTGAGGGGCAGATGGATCAGAGGAGTGCCATCCAGTGTCTGCACCCATTCTGTACTTCCAACCATGTGCTGCTGCCAAGCTCCATTGGCAGCCTGTAATACTGCTGGGTCACAGGTAGGTTTTTTTGGAGAGTGTTTTGGGATGGAGGAGCACGGTCCATGGAGGTAAGGTGGGGAGTGGGAACAAAATAGTTCAGGGTGCAATTTGGGGGCATCAGGGTGTGGGGGTGAGAAGGGGAGCCCTGAGGTGGGTGCAGCAGGGTGTAAAACCATTGCTGCAGTTAAGCAGGGTTCCCAACATTTTTTTATTGCAAACTTTTTACTGACAATCAAACTTTTTTACTATGGTTGGTGTTAAGCCTATACATATGAACCTAGCCATTCTAACTGGGGCAGGGCCTGGTAGAAGGGTTACCTTTATGAGATGTAAAACCTTTCAGTAAAAAACATGTATCAGTAAAAAAGTTTGGCTGTCAGTAAAAAGTTTTCAGATTGTCAGTAAAAAAGAAATTCTTGTGTTGGCAACCCTGCTGGGGCGGTATGGGGAACAGGACGGGGGCGGTCTCATTGGGGTGGAGTTATAGGGTTGACTGAGGGGGTGCTGTGCTGAGGACAGTGGGGTGCAGGAGGGCTCGGGGGGCTAGGCCATGCTAAGTGGGAGGAGTCACAGCAAAGGGGGAGGTACTTACATAAGGATTCATTGGGTCTTTGAACTTGGTGCTGGGCAACATTGGCTCCTTGCTGGGCTCCACTTTCTTGCTTATTTCCTTCTTGGGCAGCAGCCCCCAGTCCTGGGGTTCTGCTTGGAGTGCTCTTTTTGGACTCTTATCCTTGGGGGCTGAGCACAGGGGCCATGAGCTCCACCTCCCCTAGCTCCTCCCTCCAATCTGCACCCCCTCCCCCAAACAGTTCAGTTCCTATGGTTGACCACTAGATGGCAGCACCGGAACCAATCAAAACTCCCCTTAAAGGGCAGGTCCCATATGGTACACTAATGCTCAGCTGTCCCATGCCATGGGTGTGGTCTCCATGGGGCACTGGGGTCAGGGGATAGGAACCAGCCCCCCACCCCCTCCCTGTGGAGACACAGGACAAGTGGTGGCTTCTTACTTGTATTGTTCCCATAGGCTCCAACAGTGTCCAGGGACCTGAGAAGGCAGAGGGGTGGGGTCTATGGGCAATCAAAGGGAGAGATTTGAGGGCTCCCCAACCCTATGAACCTGCACTGGCTCAGCCAGTGGAGTTGTTTCCCAAGGCAGGGGTGTGGGGGAAACACCCCTAGAACCAGCCCAGTCAATTCCAGCCATCATAGGGGCTAGAACCAGCAAGGGGACTACCCACTGAACAAACCCAACCAATCCCAACCTTCAGAGGGATGCAGCTAGGAAGGGCAATGCCCCTAGAACAAGCCCACCTCTGGAGGGAGTGGATCCAGAAAAGGGACCTTCTCTGGAGCCAGCCTGGCCAATCCCATCCCTTGTAGGTGGGTGGAGCCAGGAAGGGCAACAGCAGCCTGGCCAATCTCAGCCTTCAGAAAGGGTGGAGCCAGGGAGAACAGACCCCCACTCCCAGCTTACCTCCTCTTTAGCAGAGACAGGCTCAGCTCCCTGCTTTTCCAGTGGGACCTGGGGGTGGAATTGGGGACAGAGGGGGTCAGTGCCACTGGGAATCTGCATGGGGTGATGCTGAGAAGGGCAGCTCCCAGGATGGCATTGGGGTGGAGCATTGCACATACAGGAGATACTGGCCCCTTGGGGTAGCATCCCAGGGTCTGGGTGTGTGTGTGTGTGCGTGCGTGCGTGTGTGTGTGTTGGGGGGGATGCATTGGTAAGCCAGGAGATATATGGACTCCAATAGATGCACGCATGTCCCCTAGGTGGGTCCTGGATGGACATACCTGGATGTCTGTCTTCTTTCTGTGGAAAGA